GAGCTTTCTGAGCCTTTTAGGAACTGAATTGATGGGATGTAGAATTTGATAGCCAATAAATTAAGGATATTAGTAAATGTAATGACTCTGTTAGAAGACAGCATTTCCAAGAACAGTAGCAACATTTGCTTGCGTCGTTTGTGAGTGTATCTGTGGAGATTCTTTATATATGTATCTCTCTGTTTCTCTGTCTATCTAGATATATATGATATGTGGGGTGCTATAAAATTTTTAGTGCCTTAGTTTGGGTTGACCGCCTTATTACTCACGAGTGAGCTATACAGGTCTTCCTTAACAAGTGGCAATAAAGGCTTTACAGCACCCCTTACACCATCACATATTTTTGTTTAGGCCACATACTGTCTTTTTCTTTTTAAGTCTCCCTTTGCTCATGTCCCTCTCAAGTACCTTCGTTGCCATGGCAACAGTTCCATTGTTTTCTTAGGGTAGAGAGGAGTGACGTCCTCATGCAAGATTCTTTAAGTCAATAATGCTTGTTTGGACTGACCTCAAACACTGAGCTTGGGGCCAGGGCTGTGGCCCATACCCTGGTCATCTGTGGCACTGTTTTCTCTTTTATGCCCGAGGCTTTGTTTATTAGACTGCTGTGTCTGTCCCTACATTAATCATTTGCCTTGTCTCCATGGACCTGTTTTCCAAGGAATGGGAAGAAGCTGACACTCGTGATCTAAAAATTGAAAAAAAGAAAAGTTAGCGTTCAGCATTTTGAGTTAAATATGGAGCTTTATAAGTGGTTGGGTGCATAGTGAATACTGTGGCCACACTAAAGGGTGAGGATAGCTCTTCCTGTACATATCAAAGTTCTCTTTGGAATTCCCTCATAGGCACAGTTTCGAGAGGTTACTGTATGCATTTTTAGATTCTTTCTCTATGTCTTTACAGTCTCTTCCAGCAGACATTCCTTCTCCTTGAATCATGGAATGTTAGTCCTGAAAGGGAGTCACAGAATTGAGTCCAACCCACTGATGATTATATTTATGGGGAAACTGAGGCCCAAAGGGGAATGGGGCTTATGGAGGTCACACATCCTTTAGTGGTACAGATGGGATGAACACCCACATCTCCCAGCCCCCAGTTGAACTTCAACTTGGCCACAATTAGTTGATATCTTTAAAATAGACATTATTCAAAAGGTTTTACTGACAAGCTAATTTCCCATGAAGCCACCTCAATATTTCTTTTAAACATGGATGTTGCTGTAATGGAGAGATCATTTGGCAAATGTTGACAGGTGGTGAGACTCTACCTCCCAAGTCTCTTAATTCTTTTTCCAACAAGAAGGTTGGCTTGCCAATTCCCTGATAAAAGGTAGGAGTTTCTGTAATCTGTTATCTCAGCTACATTTGGGATGCTTGTATATATGACTACATATATTTATATGTCTTTATGGGCAATATTTTGACTGTTTCTTTTTTGAAAGACAGTGTAAATGAATATGCCAAAAATCACAGATGATATGAAAAGTGTTATCAATAGAAGCACTTTTTTAGAAAGGTGAATAAAACAACCCAAAAACAATGTAAAATTTTTCCTAATATCATTTTGCAAATTCATCAAAAAATCTAGTGCCTGTGACCACTGGGAGGGGGATGCTTATGCAATACTACGTGGCTGACTTTAGTGATTGTTACTGGGGAAAGGATTCAGACCTGAAGAGTCTTTTGGCATGGGCATAGACAGAAAGATTGTATAATTCGTTTTTGGATGACGTGAAAAAGAATCCTAAATATATTTTTCTTTTCTACGTTTCCAAAGTCTGAGTGAGGAATTTTACATTGGTGAGTCATATGGCATTTTAGGAGATGGGTCATGTTCTGTTTTAGATCTTCACTTGGACTTTCTAACTTGTAGGGCTTGTGCGTTGCTCACATATTTGCCTAGTAGGTATGCTGTTTTGCATATAGGCTGCCTATAGCAATCACCATTGCCATTGATTGCTGCCTATAGCAATCAATCCATCTGTCAATCAGGGATCCCCATAATACTATACTCAGTATCATTTTTCTGTTACCCAAATACTAGATAAAAGAGAAAGAGGTAACATGCTCTGGGCTGCTACCAAGCAGATGAAATGAAATAATGGATGTCATGTACATAGAATCACCTTGAAAGTGATTATTATTCCCACTTGACAGATGAGGAAACTGAGCCCTAGAGAGATTAAATAAATTGCCCAATCGTCTATAATTGATAAGTAACAAAATTTGGGTTTCTCTGATTTCAAAGCCCAAATTCCTTCCTGAGTCACATTGGCCCTACCAGGGACTTGGAAATTACTCTCTTGTGTAATCTTTGCTTTGATGATGTGCTTAATCATTCCCTTCATAACTCATAGTAAAATAAGGATGACGAGCTTTTGGCATCATCACACACGAGCCTGAGAGTCGGCAAGTCTCACCTTACTATAAAGGCGGCAGTTTCAGCTCCAGCAGCTTTCCAGGTACAATGCATGACGTCACCGACAGAGTGGATTGTGAAATAGCAGGACATGGACACATCTGGGAGCTCTGAGAACCTGGCCGAAGTTGTGGGTGTGGAGTGGAAGAGTGAGAGAAGGAGCAATATATTAACCTTACTAACACAAAAAGTTTTTCCCTTTTCTTGCAGGTTAATGCACATAAAGTATTATCTCATTATTATTGTTTTTGTTTTTTTAGGATACTTTTTAGCAGTTACCATCTGGCTTAGGTGCTAGATGAAAGGTTAAAACAAAGCAAATAGTTTCATAAACCCAGTGGGAGGGGTAAATTTTTATTTTCTGCAGGGTTCAAAGTGCTTTCCGGACAAACTTTAAATGGCTTTGGATGCAAGCAGCACAGAGAAGTCAGAAAACATGGCTCTTAGATTCAAGGAATAAAAGCATGGGGCTGTAGGAAAGGGGCAAAAAATTAAGAAAAAGAGGAAACTAAAAGCTATCCCTCTGCTTTGACCCTTTTACTGAGATAAGGTGCAAAGCATAAATAATCCACATAGAGAGTGACATGTCCACTTACTTAATTCATTATTTCTTTTAGTTATTGGAGAGGCTCATTGCTGCTTAGCCTCTGGGCATATTTACAAGTGTGATAGAAAAAAGATAGTCCCTGCCATTACTGTTTACAATCTACAATGGATAATATATAAACAAGACATTATTTTTGTAGACAGATGCATCCAGATACACTTTAAATAAATAAGAGTGAAGCAATTAATGTGTATATGAAATCAGTAAGGTAAATCAGTTGTTGTAGCGCGTGAGGAAAAGTAATAGGAATTAAGGAGTTGGAAGCAGATTTGGTCCACATTTGACTATTTTCATCCCTTGAAACACGGTTTTGGAAAGACAGTTGGGCTGCGGCAGAGTCGGGAACCGCGTTGTGACTTGCTTGTTCCACAAGCAGAGCTGGGCAACACTCAATAACACCCCTCACCTTCATGGGCCATCGGCCGTATAGAGGCAAATTAGAGTAGTGGCATAAGCCACAAATCACAGCCTGTTGTTAGAGTCAGCCTGACCCTTAGCATCATTTTATCTGAGTCCTCTCAGATTTAATGTGATTCCCTTCACACTGTCCCCTCTCTGGACAAATACTAATATTGTTATTGTTATCACTTTGATTACTTGAGGCTGACCTAATATCCCTCTGCCCTGAAACCCCGGGACCTTGCCGCAGCCTAGGCATTAGTAGCCTTCACGGCACCTCATTGACCTGGCACGCTGGAGTTGAGGCTACAAAGCAGCAGGGTGTTATTCTTTAGTGCCCTGCTACCCTAGCCCCCTTCCTCGTCATCATGCATTCGTTTCTTATGGTGCTGCGCATCTCCCCGAGGAATTAAAACCTCAGATATTCTGATTTCAGAGGAGGGTGGGGGAGGAGGTCAGGCCCTGCGTTCAGAGAAGTGAGAGCTGGTGCCCCTGTCCTCAGGTTCACAGCACAGCCTTTCTCCTGCTGGACATGGGAGTGGGAGGAAAGCCAAGTTACCGGTGACCTTGAGCATACAGAGTTTCATAATCTGCAAATAATTCCAGGAATTCTAGATGTACCGTTAGTGTGGAACATGCACAATGCCCGCTGTGGATTCAGCACTGCACGAATCCTGGGTTTGGTTGGTTTTTTTTTTTTTTTTTCTCAATTGATGGCTTTATAGCAACCTCCCAACACGCTGGCAAGTGGGCCTTTGTAATGACGAATAGATTAGGAAGAATCAATGGTATGGACACATTGGATACACGTGGTGTCTATGGTCTAGAGAATATTGTAACCATGTAACGTGAACCATGAACCATGTGACATATTCATGTAACCATGAGCTTATTGGTGCTCTCCACAGCCTTGATGGTGGTGGAAAGGCAAGCATGGCGGCACAAAAGGATGTAATTAGGGCCGCTCTGGAAGTCCCCTAAACAGTGGGAAATTGCTCGTATGGTGCTTGGACCCTAGGGCTGCTCATATAGGGTTAAGAACTGGAAGAGACTTTAGAAATCCCCAACCTGTTGTATTATAGATAAGAAAACCCAGAGCGGATATTAATCCACTTAAGGTCATATAGTTTGCCCGTGGCATAGCAGGGACTCAAAACCGGTTTTCCTGACAAGTCCACCGTACTACATTTTCAAAGCGTCTCAGTGTTCTCAAATGAATGGTGTTACTTTTTTGGTTTTTTCTTTGAGGAAACCCCCCCCCCATATACTATTAATAATCACATCTTTTTTTTTTTTTTTTGAGACAGAGTCTCACTTTGTTGCCCAGGCTAGAGTGAGTGCTGTGGCATCAGCAACCTCACACTCCTGGACCCAAGCAATCCTGCTGCCTCAGCCTCCCGAGTAGCTGGGCCTACAGGCATGCGCCACCATGCCCGGCTAATTTTTTCTATATATATTAGTTGGCCAATTAATTTCTTTCTATTTATAGTAGAGACGGGGATCCCACTCTTGCTCAGGCTGGTTTCGAACTCCTGACCTTGAGGAATCTGCCCGCCTCGGCCTCCCAGAGTGCTAGGATTACAGGCATGAGCCACCGCGCTCAGCCAGTCACATCATTTTCTATACTAGTGTTTTTGTTGCCAGGTCTACTTTGCTATTTATTATTCAAGGGCCTCAGTACCAGCTGTTTCTTGGACCCGGTAGAATTCGAATGGAACACATCATCGGGAATACTGAACTACTTGGGCATTTCCCCAGAGATGGCATATAGCACACAAGGAGAAGTGTAATGTAGTGGTTGAGGACATGGACTCCAGATGCTGGCTGCCAGGGTTTGAATCCCAGCTCTTTCATTTACATGCTGGGATGATAGGGAACCCCCCCCCCCCAGGGCCCCAGGGCCGAACTCACTATTGACCGGATACTTTTAGAATCCCACTGCTGATTGGATGTAAAGCTTGTTTCTGATTGGATATTAAAGCTTGTTGCTGATTGGATGTAAAGCTTGTTGCTGATTGGATATTAAAGCTTGTTGCTGATTGGATGTAAAGCTTGTTGCTGATTGGATAAAGCTTGTTGCTGACTGGACACTTTTTGGATCCTACCGCTGATTGGGTAATTCCTCATGCTCATAGTTGATTGGTTGTGTGTAACCCCAAGAAGTGTATGAAACTGGAGGAGAACAAGGAAGTGGTGCTCAGAATTTGGTGGCATGCCCCACTAAGCCCGCTGGCAGAATAAAGGCTAATTCTCTAACCCTCTGTGTGCTGCTCAGTTCTTTCCCTGGTCAGTCGCTGCTAACACTTGCTGTAAACTTGCTGGAACAAAGAGGCTTGGGCATATTATTTAACTTTTCTTTGCTTTAGTTTCCTACTGTATATAATAGGAAGAATAATAGTATCTTCGTAAATATGTCATAGTTAATACACATAAATCAATTAAAACAGTGCCTGGCACATGTTAAGTAAGCCTCACAGTATATTTATTGTTGCTGTTATTTCTTTATTTCCTTCATGCTTGTAAGCCTTAAGCTACCTAAAAGGTTATGTGATTTAATCTCCTATTCAGCTGAGGGAGGAGCTGTTTGGTAACAGTCCTGGGTAATGTTCTCTAGCTTTGCTCCTGCCCAGCTGCTGAGCAAGTTTCAGCCCTGTGAGCCATCCCCCCAGCACCTGTGATGCTCAATCTTTAATGCCCACTTTGTCTTCTGGACCTGCACAGAATAAGGCTATTCCTTCTTGTTGAGAGGTAGCTCATACTTTGCTCTCTGAATATTCTTCCTCCTGGTGTCCCCGAACATATAACTGTGTAGTTTCTGGGAGATTTGGCAGGAGGCTTCTTGAGAGGTATAGTGGCCAGGTGACTCCCGAAGGCCAAGGTTAGTGCCATTGACCTTTGCAATACCCTACCTGGCTCCCCACCTGCGGAAGCTTACCTTGGACTGACGGGATGATTATAATAAAGCACTGATACAGGTAAGAGCTATGGAAAACAAAATTTGCCCTTTTCCCTGTTCCTTATCTCCTTAAGCATATGTTATTTTCGTGAAGGCTTTGAAAAGCGAGTGCTTTTTAAACTTGGGTTACTGTTGAAACTGTACCAGACTACCATGGCGGTGCTTAAAATCTATTCGTTCTTTTCTCCCTGTTACAATGCTAGTTGAGTTTCATTTCTGGAATATGAATTGCTCAAATTGGTTGACCTGTCTGGTAGAGGATTGTGAGCTCAAAAGCGAAGTAAGTGTCAGTTTCTCATATATATACAACAGCACCACTGCCATGGGCTCCGATTCCTTTGATCCTGCACAATTGTGAGAGGTCAGGATGCCCTTGGGCATTATTTAGGGTCTTTGTGTTAGGGGGATATTCTTTGGGAGGAATGATAACACTTAGTTATTTTCCTAGCCTGTCAGGATTTAGAAAGACCCCAAAATTTGGGGGTGGGGTCTGCTGCTGCTGTCAGTATCTTGGAGAGTTCTCCGTGGAGCACGTGTGTGTACGGTTCCACGTAGACCTGCCCAGTGGGTCATGCATCCTCTTCACAGCCTCCGGTGACAAGAGGCCATGTCATCATCTGTCTTTAGAACAGTGGGCAGGAGTTGACTCTTAGGCTGGGAGTCCTCTGAGCCTTTCCTTCCTTCTTCTCATAGGCAGCTTAGAGAGGGTTGAAGTGTGTGTGTGGGGGAGGGGGGGGGCATGCGAGGGTGGGGGTGGGGAGAAAAGGAGGAACAACTGTAAAAAATGTTAATTTATTAATCACTGAATATATAGCAGTTCATCTGAAATGCTGTTGCTATGCCAACACCCTGGGAGTTTATTTTCTTAATCCAAGAGAGGAGCTCTCAGTCCCCTGCTCCCCTGCTGTGTCATTTGAATTCGCTGCTGCCACCGCTGCCACCATGGTATCTGTTTTAAAAAGTGGGGGGTGAGGTGGGGGGGGGAAGGGAGGGAGGGAGGGGAACCAGGCTAAACCACCAAAGCAGTCAAATGCAAAGCAGTAAGAGGCCTTTCTCAGTGCGACTTAGTAAAAATGACACAAATTAATATACTCTACTTAAACCAGACCAAGATTAATGGTTCTCTTTCAGTGCAGCTTAGCCCAACTGTCACTCGACAGGCGTTTGTCGGACAAAATCAACACTAATCAACATTTATTCGTCTCTTGCCCTTGGGTCTGAGCTGCGCGCGGGCTGCGCCATTCTCCCGCTCGTCTCGCCACGCTTTTCACCCTCCATCCAGCCTCGCCATATATCACCCTTCCTCCTGAGCCTCTCGTCGGACGGATCCACACACTCAGCCATCAGGGTACATTAGAGGCATGATAGATTTTCTGTTTTAATTTACATCTATTATATTACAACATAACAGATTTTGATTCAGTAGAGACCAGTGTCTCCTATAGCCAGACTCCTTGGGAGGACTTCTGCATTAACTTATTAAGGTTCGTTAGGATGCTGCTTCGAATAGACTCCCTTCTCCCTGGCTGGCTCGCTCCCTCTCTCCTTCTCTCTCTCCTCTCTCTCTCTCTCTCTCTGGCATGCTCAGTGCAGATATCTTGGTGTACCTTAATCACAAGCACAGCTCATTTTCTTTAGACTTGGCTTCCTGTGCTGGGTCACATGAGACTGGCCGGGTTCCTCCCTTACTTTCTGATTGGACTTCGGTCAGCCAGCTCCCCCTTCCCTGCCCAGCCTGGGTAGATGGGCCTTGACAAACCTGGTGGCCTGGAGTCGGGGGCACTCCCTTCTAGGCTTTAGTTCTAGCCCCCAGCATCTTCTTCTCTTTGTCTCCCCCCTCCCCCTTTGATCTCAGTTACAGTTAGATTTTATTTATGTTGAAACTCAGGTCTGCAAAGACAGGGGTGAGAAGGAGAGAGCAAACAAAGTTTGCTGGGTTGCCCAAGGAGAAGGACGTTGAAAGGAGGACTGAGAGAGTGAGTCTGAACGAGGCTATTTTCCATTCCACATGCCCGTCTTGAAAGCATCTTGTTTCAACTTGGAACAAGGTGCAGGAGCCCAGCGTGTTTGTTGCATGTGGGATGTGCGTATTTATAGTTCCCTTGCAGAGTGCCTTTCCACCTCATTTATGGAATTGGCTTTTGATTTTAGTCCTTTTCTCCTCTTCCCTTGCACCAGAGTGGTACTACTGTTAGGCATATCTTTCACTTGTTAACCATAGTATTTCCTCTTGATTTTTGGAGCGGCTGGGGTGTTTTATGACTGTTGACTAAGGCCTCACTAAACGTTGGATGTCTGGTCACTTGCTTGCTGGCTGCAGAGAGGAGCCTGAGAAGGAGACAGAAATCTACCCGTCCGCTTGCATCTTTTTACTGTTACTTTCTGCACAGACACCATGGCTTTGTCAAATGCCCGGGAAGACTTTGTGCCTTTCTTCTCAAATTGGCTGTAGCACTAGATCCCCTGGCCACTTAGAAGTCCCGAGTGTTTTATATTTTCCACCAAGCTATTGACTCTAAACTGGAGGGAGGTTTCTTTTGTGGCCAGAATGCAGAGAAACCATGGCTGAGTTGGGGATGTGTGGTTTGTGCGTGTGTTTGCATGTGGCCACTGAAGTGTAGGATATATTAGGAGGATAGCTTAGGACTTCCATTTTGGTTTCTTATTACACAGCAATAAAGTAAATGACGCTTAGTATAACTTTGCACTTATAGAACTGTAGCTCAATTTAAGAAACAAAACTCCACCAACAGGAGTGCTCAATATCTTGAGCTTGGGAAACTGACCTCGTTAATTTTAATGAGGGGAAAAATTCTCCAGCTGGGGCTGAGAAGAAAATAATGTGATAACCAATGAGGTTATCACTTTGCATGGTCTCACTGAATTCATATAGTACAATTGGAATAATGCTTGGAGAATTGTCTAAACTCCTGTAGAGAGATTTAGAAGAGAATGCATATGCCTTTGATAGTATTAAGAGACTGCTTCCTCTGGGAGGCAGAGAAGAACTCTATATGGTCCCTCCTAAAGGGATTACTTGGGAAGTCAACATATTAAAAAGTCGGGCTAAAGTTAAACTGAAAGGAAAAACGAATTAACATTTTTCTTATGTGAGGCTGGCATGAAAGCAATGGAGCTGGTCAGTGGTGGTTGGGGCAATTGATTGGAAGCCAAGGGGGCCCGAGTTCAAGTGCCCACTGGGCTGCTAACTTCCTGTGGGATTTTAGGCATCTGTTTCTTTATCACTGAGAGGCAGGAGGCAGGTTGAGGGAGTCCTGTTGTTCAGTAGGCAGCTATTTGAGTTAAACAATAAGGTGATGACTTTGGCCCTGCTTTGAGGAGCTGGCAGACTGTGACCAGTGAGGTTGGGTGACTAGGACAATTTTGCCCTCGGTTTGGAGAGGCATGCCGAGTTCCACTGACATTTGCTTGGGGATCACAGAAGGAAACATCACCATTCAAGGCATTTGGCTGTCTTTATTTTGTCCTAGTCCACTAGATGGCTGATCTTGGGAAGAAGATTATTGCACCAATCGATTCTTCTGAGTCATGCGGCAGATAGCACAGGCTTTCTTCTCCAAAAGTTTGAGCTTACTGACTCAAGCTCTCTTCTCATCTCTCTGCCATGTCACTGCACTCAGTGGAAGATTTGTGCAGCCATCAGGTACAAACTCAAGTGTCACCAAAGAGACGCTTTCTGATTAAATGGGGCCATCGTGTTCTAGTGGCCATCTGGATATCAGTGGAATGTTGAGAGGGGTCTATTAATGCTTCTGAGTTCTCTTGAAATTCAGGCCTTTTTCTTTGAAAGCTGTGAGACAACAGTTAAGGGCACTTGTACTGCTGCTGTGGCTGTGTGTGTATGTGATGGGAAATGCTGGTTGCCAAGCAGCAGGGAATGGACATAATCTTGCTGCCTAGCAACAGCAGCAGCGTGGTCACTTGCACAGATTTCTGCGCCTCTTCCTGTTTGGTCTGCTGGAAAATACAGATGGCTTCTATGGGTCTCTCTCTGCCCTAGCCACAGTGAGCTGTAGGAAAACATTATAAACCAGGGTGGGTACGTACATAGTTGTATGTTTTAATATGATTGTGTTCCAGACTGTCTAGGGCCGAGCACTGATTTTTGCATAGCATTCCTCAGTTTCCCCTTTGAAGTTATTGTGCATGTGCAGGTTGACTCTTAAGCCAGAAGAGGAATCTTAGAAAAGTGCTAGACCCTTTTGGGGGCTGCCTCTGCTGATCCTGGTGAGCCTTTCCTCTGCATAAGTAAATATAAAACAGCCAATTTTCTGATAAAGACAGACAGACACACACACACACACACACACACACACACACACACACACACACCGCGAGTGAAAAAGACAAGTGGAGCAGAGCAGCAGACTACTGATTGTTCTTTGGGGCCCGGGGAACAAAGCACTTGGGAGGGATAAAGGCAGGCGATCCCTGCTGGTTTGCCCTTTCTCCTGGCTCTGACCGTCACCCTCACACATGACACTCCTCAATGAGGTCACCTGCTCACTACAGGTTCTAAAGAGGCTTGCTTGGCAGAGGCCGCCTGGGTCAGAGTGCCAGCCTTCTCTGCTCTTGGCAGTTGTGTGTACGGAGCATTGGAAGTGTTTGGAACTCAATGCTTAAGGAAGACGTAATTTGGCAGCAAGAAAAAGGGAGTAGGGATGAGAACCGCTTGCCTGTTTTCCTCTGTAGGAGTTGAATAGTAGCCAAAGTACAGATGTGGTATCAGGAGGCCCTAGTTCAGTCCTTATCTCCACCACCTACCAGCGTTGTATCATTCTGCAAGCTCCATGTCCCATCAGACCCTTAGTGCTCTTGTCTGTAAGGGATAGCTTCATGGGGTGGACTGGAAGGTTAAAAGAAGCATGAGTTTGTTGGCACATTTGGCAGGCAGCAAGTGCATAGTAATTGTCGTTGCTAGCCTCCTCCCAGTGGTTTGCGAGCAGGAAGTTGGGGAGAGAAGGTGAGCATTATAGCTACCCTGTGTATTAAAAACTT